TTTGTAAATGGCTTCAAAGAAACTATGCTCGGCAGAATATAGTCATGTTCTGTCTTGATTGTGTTTCAGCTCCAGCTGGAGTGGAGGGTGATTCCCTCCAGCAGGTGCACCTGTGCCACGTTTCCCCATCAAGCACAGCTCCGTATTTCTGGGCTGACAGGCTGCCTGGCCCTTGTCGGATTACTGACCTTGCTCGCTGTTGTGCCTCAAGTGTGATTTTCTAGACCTCTCAAAACAATTGATGGTTGCTCTCATTTTGTTTAGAGATTTTTGTTCGTCAGTATTTTTGTTTTTCTATTATTGCTCTTTGTTTTTGTGTTACTGAACTTTTGAATTTCATTTGTGTACTCTCGGCGTTCTGATTGCAAGCACTTTTTGTTTAATGCCCTGTTTTTTTTTTTTCCTGGCTCTTTCTGACCAGTGATTTCAGTTTGTACTTTGTCGGTGTGATTTCCTACATTAGATATTTTTGTAATCGCATTTTGAGTCTGCATTGTTATTTTTTTTGGAAACCTAAAACATTTTTCGGTTTTGTCTGAACCTGACAAATATAGAGATGTAGCGAGTCATTGGTCTGAAAGATCGCTCTTTTTCATTTTCATGCTAAGTTGTACAGTAGTACATGCAGTTGTTAGCCCATTCCTGACACTTTTTATTTGTTTCTAATCTGCTATATTACACACGTTTTAACACTTTATGTGGTAGTTTTTTTTTAAGTTTGTCCCTTCAGGTAGGCATACACTATTGATGTCAACCCCAAACGGTAGATATGGTTGCAACAAATGCACATCACCACTGATTTGCATTCTGAATTTGTGCAATTATTTCTTGTGTGCTCATTAATAGTTATCATACAAAAAGAGACGTACACAGCACCCTTGATTACTCTGTTTATGTTGTATGAAGATTTATAATTTACATCGGTACTAATTTTGATTTGCAGGTCTGGCTTTGACTGTATAATAGGAGACATTCATTGTTTGATCCGGTAATTCTCACCCAAGGTGCCGGGGCAAATTAGTGTTGCATAAAAGGTGTGCCGTGGGAAATTACGTTATCAATTTTCATTTATTTATGACAAATGACATATCTTTGTTCAAATACCTATGCCACCTATTTATCAAGACAGACAGGCCAAATCAATAATATTCTATTAGAGTGCAGAAAGTATATAATTAAAATGCAGTGGCGGACCCTCAGGGCCAGCAAGGCCTTCTCTGCTGGCCTAAACATTCTCAGAAAAGTAAATTTACTTTTATGTATTTTATGTTATTTTATAATTTATGTTATTTCATTTTCATAAATATGTAAACAAAATTATTCTCTGTATTCTTTACGTCATATTATTTCCACTTAGTTGAGTGGCTTTTAATGTTATTTTAAATAACATTGAAAGCCACTCGACAAATAACTTATTTATTATGGTAGAGTTTTTAACCAATCATATTTCAGCGAGCTTGCGTTGCCAGGTAAATTAAACTTGCTCGGGGCCTTCAGATTAAACAGAGCAGGCCCCTGTGCGCTGTAAGTGATCTGGCACAGTCAGGTTTCAATAGCCAATCAGATCACGAGTCTGAGACTCGTGATCTGTATCCTGTATCCTGACTTGTTCTCGTCT